CCAGAATGACAAGTCACCTGCCAGTGCAGAAAATTATACAGTAGGTGAAACAAGTGACAATCAATCTTTAATTGCTGATTGTAGTAATCATAAGAAAAATTATTTATTTTGGCCAATGGAGCAGGCTAACTCAAAGAAAAAAAGAAAGATCCACCCGAAATGTCCATCAATAATGTCTTCAAAAGAAGGATTAGAGTGGTTCCAGGAACAGGAAAATAAGAAAAGAAAAATTTCAGAAGAAAAAGAAATGAGAAAAAAAATTAGAGAAGCAGCAGCTACAGTTAAAAAAGAAAGAGTAGAAGAAATGAAAAAAGAGAAAGCATTGAAGAAAGAGAGAGAGAAATCAAAAAAATTACCTGTTCCTAAACAAACCAAAAAATCTAAACAGTCCTAATAGATTTACCATAAATATAAAACTTTTCTTACAAATAACAAATTTTATCACAGAATATATTTTTCATGAAATTCATAGGTAAACACTAATAACTACCTTGTTGTGTATTTAAAAAGCATTAAGAACTGATAAATAAATCTAATTTTCAATTAATTGGTATCCAGCCTGCTTCATTTTATTCCAGAAAATCTCAAATACAGAGAAACTAGATAAAAACAGGGTCCATAAAAGGGGGGGGGGCTAAAACATGGACAGGGTCCATAATATGGGGGGCCAGAATGTGGACATGGACCATTGTAGGGGGGGCCACAATATGTTCGAAATTCCCTGGGAGGGTCCATAATACAGACAAATTTTTTTTTTTTTAATTAATTACTTATGATGAAAAAAAANATCGATGAAACAAGTTCTGCAGTACTTCATCCATATGAGCAACCAGTATTCGATGGAACAAGTACTGCAGCTTTGCATCCAAATGATCTCTTACTCATCGATGAAACAAGTTCTGCAGTACCTGATCCACATATGCAATCATCCTCCGATGAAAAAATTCACACTGTACCTGACCAGAATGACAAGTCACCTGCCAGTGCAGAAAATTATACAGTAGGTGAAACAAGTGACAATCAATCTTTAATTGCTGATTGTAGTAATCATAAGAAAAATTATTTATTTTGGCCAATGGAGCAGGCTAACTCAAAGAAAAAAAGAAAGATCCAACCGAAATGTCCATCAATAATGTCTTCAAAAGAAGGATTAGAGTGGTTCCAGGAACAGGAAAATAAGAAAAGAAAAATTTCAGAAGAAAAAGAAATGAGAAAAAAAATTAGAGAAGCAGCAGCTACAGTTAAAAAAGAAAGAGTAGAAGAAATGAAAAAAGAGAAAGCATTGAAGAAAGAGAGAGAGAAATCAAAAAAATTACCTGTTCCTAAACAAACCAAAAAATCTAAACAGTCCTAATAGATTTACCATAAATATAAAACTTTTCTTACAAATAACAAATTTTATCACAGAATATATTTTTCATGAAATTCATAGGTAAACACTAATAACTACCTTGTTGTGTATTTAAAAAGCATTAAGAACTGATAAATAAATCTAATTTTCAATCGATTGGTATCCAGCCTGCTTCATTTTATTCCAGAAAATCTCAAATACAGAGAAACTAGATAAAAACAGGGTCCATAATAGGGGGGGACAGGGTCCATAATATGGGGGGCCAAAATGTGGACATGGACCATTATAGGGGGGGCCACAATATGTTCGAAATTCCCTGGGAGGGTCCATAATACGGACAAATTTTTTTTTTTTTAATTAATTACTTATGATGAAAAAAAACAATTTTTTTATATTGAAAAACGTGTATTTTGTAAAAAAAAGGTTAAATTATCCATGCGTTACTTTTTCATGGTCATATTTGTACGTATAAAATTCAATTGAACCTCGAACTACACTTAAAGGGGCCATAATTGGGACACATACCCTAGGTATCCATCCCTACTATGGGCAACACGACCGATTCCCGACTGCGGGTAACACCTGGTGTGTGTGTGTGTGTGTGTGTAACAACGCAACACACGCAACACACACCTGTGTAAGTGGCTGAGGTGCCAAGGCAGCACGGATCAGCGGGCCGGGAGGAGAGACACTCTCACTCTTGTCTGCTTGCCAAAAGGTCATACCTTTATATACGTCGGTTGCATTTGCTAACTGAGTGAGGCGAGCTCCGTATCAGGCGACAACAGGAGACGCAGCCACGGCTACCTGTTGCTGACCCGACCGGTTGCAGGCGTATACACGCGGCTTCTGCTGGGACTCAAGTCATCAGAGTGCTGACGCCTGCCAGACGGATCTCCCAGTGCCCGTGGTCAAGTTGCGGTGTACCTCTCCATAGGAGTGTTAACGGTAGGCCTGTTTCCCTTAATCCTGTCCCNAACTAGCTGTTTCCTAAGAGAAAAAGATAGTGCATGTTTGCAGTGTTTGAGTCTGTACAGTGCACTGTAAGTACGATTGGCAACATGCGTTGCATGCTGGCCCCAGTGCAGATTCGATGTGATCAAATCGATGTTACTGGTGTGTTAAAATTAGAGATGTAGCAAAATACTAAAAATTTATAAACGTAAATGGAAAAAAAGAAAAAAATCGGCATTGAACTTGACTGAAAAAACTTGAGGAACAAGTTATTCATTAGAGAGTATAGAACTTGCAACTCCAATCAAAGTGGGGCACCGCAAGTTCGCTCAGTGCATTTGCACTTTAAAGCTCAACCCCTCCGAAGAATGAATATTTGATGATCGTACGACGACTATACTCGTAAGAGTTTCTCTTTGTTTACTTTTGCCCTCATTAAGTGTATCCGTGCAACGTAACGAACTTTATAAACCTTGTGCATTCGAGAACTTGTGGTGAGTATATCAAGAGCGCCCTACTTGAATACAATTAAGCTCCGGTCGGAGCACACATACTTGCACGTATATAACATGCGCAGGTGTATATTGTGTCTCTCCTAAATCATCCGAGCCCTCCGAGACTCGAGCTACAATTTCACGCGTCAGATCAGGTCGCGCACCCACAAGAGACGAGTCTCCTCGCGGATGAAAGACGGAATCGCGGTGCAATCGAGCGATGGAGCTGTAGCAACCCCCTCTCGGTAGGGGAGACCGGGGAATGACAGGTTTACTAGGTGACTCTAGCACCTCAGTTTCTCCGCAATGATAAAACATTTTTAATTCAAACTTGGTAAATTACAATTCCTGATACGATTACTTTCTCCCTCTCCAAGTAAAACACTAAATAATGCAGTGGAAGTTTAATAAATCATATGTAAAATTTTGTGTAATAGAATGCTTGCTCTCGCATTTTTAATCGCACACACTCGATACAAACAAACCTGTTTTAAACTATCTTAAGATGTCTATTTTATAGATAAAACCCTGAGCTTCAACATGCTTTTTTTAAATTTTCTCTAGGAGGCATAGAAAAACAGTTATTTAAAAAATAATAACGTGTTCTGTACGGGGAATGACTGGCACCTAAGGCAGGGCGCTACTAGCACGAGAGGCTTCTATATTATCGATGAGCTCCGACCGTAAACAGATTTCCTAACCTTATGCAGACATGTAAACATTGTAATACACAGTGATATACGAGGTGCTTTAGTTTTAAGATATTTATTATTTAAGAAACTTTTACAAATGGTGCGTCACTATAAAAAAAAAAGTAACCGAGGAAGCTGGGATGATAATCAAATTTATCTCGCTATTGAAGAGATCAAGAGTGGAAAAACCATCAAAAGTTCAGCAGCAGCTTTTGGCATTCTCCGATCTACTTTACAAGTCAAGTTTCACAATTCTTGCAATGAAAATCTTGTAAATAATGACAGTAAGTACAAAAAATACCTCTGAACTACTTTTTCTTTATTTACTTACATACTACTTTTTACAGAATCTGGATTCAAAAGAGTATTTACAGATGAGCAGGAGCAAGCTCTGTACAATCATATCATAGACATGGAAAGTCGATTGATGGGATTGACAGCGTTTGATCTTAGAAAGCTAGCATTTGATTTTGCAGAACAATTACAAATCCCTCATAGGTTTAACCGTAGAAAAGGATTAGCTGGTTCTGATTGGCTTTCAAATTTTATAAACAGACACGACCTTGCACACAGAAAAGCAGAGCACACGTCAATGGCTCGTGCAAATGGTTTTAATAAAGCAGAAGTTTACAAATTTTTTACTTTATTGGAGGAAGTCATAAAAAAATATAATATAAACGCAAGCAACATTTGGAATGTTGATGAATCTGGTGTGTCTGTGGTGCCAAAATCTGCTTCTAAAATTATTGCCAAAAAAGGGAGGAAGCAAGTTGGAGACTTGACAGCAGCGGAAAGAGGAGAAACTGTCACTGCCACCTTGTGTATGTCAGCCACGGGGTCTTTCATGCCTCCGATGCTGATCTTTCCACAAGTCAAAAGAAACGAGGAGTTTCTAAGAGGTTGTCCTGAAAATTATTGGGCCGAATTTGATAAGTCAGGTTGGATGACCACTGACATTTTTACCCGTTGGGTGGAGAAGTTCATTGTCTTTTCCCGAGCCACTCCAGAAAATCGTGTTTTGCTGCTCTTAGATGGCCATTGCACGCACGTTAAAAATCTCAAGGTGGCAGAATTAGGCAAAGAGCATGGAGTCGTGATCCTTTGCTTTCCTCCACACTGCACTCATCGAATGCAGCCTCTTGACGTCTCCTTTATGAAGCCTATGAGTCACTTTTACACTGAGGAAGTAACGAAATTTTTAAAAGACGAAGGAGGTCGAGTCGTTCAAATGAAAGATATTTTCCACCTCTTTGGCGAAGCTTGGATAAAGGCATCAAAAATGGAAACAGCTGTGAACGCTTTTTCAAAAACAGGCATCATGTTTATGATGATCAGTTTATCAAAACTAGCAGCACGAGTTTAAACATAGATGCCTCAAGTGGTAATGCTTTTTTCTGTTAAATATTTGTTAAATTTAATTAATAAGAAGGGTTTGCTATGAATGAGTTTTCAAAAATCGTATTAAGGTTACTAAAACTATTTACAGAGTCTAATGCTTCTCTAGAGTTTTCAGCAGTACTAAAAAATTTGACAAAACCGTCAACAACAAATACAAAAATTTCCGCTCCAAATCTATTGACAAATCTGTCCCCACAAGACTCAGTCACAGACACAACAGCTGAAATAACCATTCCTGTGCAATATTTATTAAGTGCAAAACCACTGATACCTTTGCTGGTAAGAATAAAACTTAAAACCAGAAATGTCTTATTGAGCAATGAAGTAAATTATATATATATTTGACAAAACCGTCAACAACAAATACAAAAATTTCTGCTCCAAATCTATTGACAAATCTGTCCCCACAAGACTCAGTCACAGACACAACAGCTGAAATAACCATTCCTGTGCAATATTTATTAAGTGCAAAACCACTGATACCCTGCTGGTCACCCGGACGGACGAGCTGGTGCCCTTATATTTTTTTTTTTTTTTTTTAGAACTCACAGATGATGTCGTTGGAAGCTGGTAAGGAAAACAAACTCCAAAACGATGCTTTAGAGAGTATCGCGGAATCAGCTAATAAGATAAATGAGCCCCATAAAAATGTCACTCAAGCTAAAATTAAAATAATAAATACTCATGCACACGAAGAAATAAATGGAACATCACAGTCGAAATTCGGAAGTACATCTAGTGGCGTAAGTTCAGTTGCATCCCACAATACAAAAAGAAGAAAGGGAGAAGCTCTAATTGCAACCGAAGATTTATTTATTCAGAAGTTGATGCTAATGAAATAAAAAAGGAGCCAAAAAAGCCAAAAGCAAAGCCAAAGATTAAGTCCAACAGTGTACTTCCTCAAAACATAAACGCGTTGCGATCACGTAAACGAAAAAACAATTACTTAAGTGTCTTGCCAACTATTGAACGTGTCCCGTTTTCAGAGCTTAATCATCTGTATGATACAACGACCCAAAAATTAGAGCAACCGAGTAATTTATTACCAACTAATTTTGTGTTATCTCCTGATCCCTGTTTTTCATTCTCGTCAAATGAAATTCAGCTGCTAAATTTAAGTAATATTCCAATTGTGATGAATAATGATGCAGTATTTTCAGGTCCGATTATTTCGTACTTCTAAACACTGACCAGCAAGATATTTATAAGAGTCTATATAAATGACATTTTAGTTACTTCGAAATATTTATTAGGCGCTTGTGAGATCTTTAATTAGCGATTAATTGAAAAAAATTAAGAGGTTCAGCACGGATATATATATATCGTTGTGACAAAAAAAATCAAAACTATAATTCCAAAGTTACAACTTCAATGTGATTTAAAATAGTTGTAATATGTATGCAGGCTCTTGTCATTTTTTGTTTTAATTTTATGTGTTCTTAATAAAAAAACAACTTATTTGACATAACTTCTTTGACAAGTCACCCTGTTAAATGATTGTGATTTATCAGGCTAGTAGTACCCCACCCCCTGCTAGACCTACCTCACTATGGGGCACTACTAGCATTTTCCGGAGGTTCGGTTTGTGATGTTCTTTAACGAAAAGTTTTATTGTTTTTATAAGGTTTGCTTGTGCTGTGATAACTATATTGTCTTTTCTTTACAAATCGATTTTTTCGATTTATCTAACTTTAAAGGTGAAGCTGTAATTAGCTGTTAAAAAAAAAGTGTCCGTCATTCCCCGGTCTCCCCTATTAACTGCGCGCTTGTCCAACCGGAGGGATTATAAAGCAACTTGGAGGAAAAAACTAATCCTTCCCTCCCAATGTCAATGTAGAAAAGCAAAAAAAAAAAATGAAGAGGCTGTCCGTCAGCGTTACAGGCGCTAGAGTCGAGTGCGAGTAGGGTGGCCGCGGGAAAAATCCTTGTCATAAAGTTGCTAACTAATCAGCCGTGCTGTCGTAAAGAACCAATTAAAGCGGAGAGGCCCCCCCCCCCCCCCGTCCGTTAAATCACCCACGGCTCGTCGCTGTAAACTTCACCACCTCCCGAGCAAAACACGACGACGACGTACAAACTGCCGAGAGTGCACCAGCAAAGGAGCAAACAAAAACGCAACAAGAGCTCGCCGTGCGCGTTTATACACGGCGAGAGCAAACGAGTAAGTAAAGCACACGTCATACCTACCCTCGAGTCGGCACGTCGCCGCTAAACCTTTCGTCTCGCAGTGGTATTTTACGGCGACTGTGGCATCAGCTGTGTTTATGTATATGTGTACACGCGACCGAGCGCAAACACAAAATATATATACAAGTACACCACGGACTCACCTGGAAGGCCGAGTTGCAATTTTGCTCCTTGGGGTCGTTAAGGAAGATGCGCGGATCCTTGGCCGCCGCGTGCCAGTGCTCCTGCGCGTAGATCGAGTTCACCTTCATGCCGGCAGCTCGAGCATTGCCTGTAACCGCCCCCGACGTTGCTGTCGTCGCCAGTACTTTGTTACTCGTATTGTTGTTGCAGCCTTGGAGAGACGATGATACCAGGGCCTTGTCGTCGGCGTTGAAGGGACCCTCCGGGCCGGCGAACCTCGGCATGGCCGTAGTCGAGCCCGCCAGCGCCGTCGTCGTCGTCGAGTCGCTGTTTGTCGTGCCACCCCCGCTGCTGCTCACTATACGGTAAACGTCCACGCGTGTTAATGTACCATTTTTTTTTTTTTTTTTTTTTCATGATGATGGTATACTCCTCGGGGCCAATAAAAAGCGCCGATTGCCCGTGTTTTCCCGGGGTCGTAAAGCGAGGGCGATCAAAGTTAAAATCGCCCCTTAACGAGTTTCGTTCCGTTGAATCTTGTTTCCCCCCCCCCCACCCCTCTCCAAAAATTGTTTATCGAAAAGGGGCTTACCGATGCTACCGGCGCACTCCGTGCCGTTGCAGCCGATGGCGTAGACGACGCCCCCGTTGAGGCATCCCGGCGCGAGGGCGCACAGCCCCGGTAGGCCAAAGATCGCCCTCAGCTCGGCGTTTCTCTCCTCGTACGCCTCCTCCTCCTCCTCCCCCGTCTCTTGTTGCCTGCAGCTCAATTGCCGGTGGTTGGTTGGCTCGGCGTTGTTGTTACCCGCGCCGGCCTTCACCTTGCAGTGCTTGCAGTCCTTCTTGCGTCGCCGGCGCGCCGGTCGCTCGACGCTGCTGCCGCTCACGAGGCTCTCGTCCCGACTGCTGTTCTCCGCGCTGCTCCTGCTCCATGCACGCCCGGTGAGTTGGCGAATACGCCGCGCGCGAGAGAGAGACACAGAGGAAAAAAAAAAAAGAAAAAAAAACAAGCAGGGTGTAAGTACATTTATACACTCGACACCGATCTGGATGTATGACCGATCGATGCGCGTTGGCTTTGGGGCTTACCGATTTCTGTCGTCCCTGGCGAGCCGTTCGATGATCGATCCCCGGGTGCGCTCCCTGCTGGTCACCCGGACGGACGAGCTGGTGCCCTCGATCGACTCGCAGCTCTGACTGGTCCGCCTGAGGGGCAGGGTGAGGTTCCTGTGGAAGGCCCCGGCGCCGCCGGGCTCGAGGCCGTACGGGGCGACGATGTCCTCGTACACGTGGCAGTCAGAGCCGTGGACGGGCATATCCATGGGTCCTCCTCCTCCTCCGCTCCGGTACGGCTCGAACCTGTGGGGCTGCTCGAACTGATGGCTGTGGTAGCTGCTGCGCCGCAACTGCTCGCACGGCCGGGAATCGGCGCGCGAGTGCTGGACCTGAGACTGTGGCAGCTGATGGTGGTGGCCGAGCTGGCTGAGATTGAGGCTGAGCTGCTGGTGGAAGCGATGCTGCTGTTGGCTGTTGTGGTACAGATGCTGCGCTGACTTGTTCGGCTCATCCTCGTAGGCGCGGTTCTCCATCTGTTTGCCGAACAAAAAAACCAAACGCGAATCACGATCCATTACAATTTCGACATCCATCGTTCGAACAAACAAAAAATCGCCATGTATGTTGGTAGGTTTGATTTATTGGGGGGATAATGATTGCAGTGTACTGTCGGAGCGTGGATCAACACGTGCAAGTGCAACATTATCTTATCGAAAACAAAGCCGGTGAAAATTCAGGCCAACGAAAAATAAAAAAAGGGGCTTTTATCTAACTGTATAAGCTGTAGGCTATGTGTAACTAATTAGTGTGGCCTATCCGCGCCGAGACACAACTTCAGCCCTCCATCCGGCTTCACCTGTCAACTGCTCGTTTTTTTTTTTTTTTTTTTTTTTTTTTTTTTTTTTTTTCAACTACAATTTTCCGCTCGCAGCGTGTAGTACACGTATATACACGCGTTTCTTATTAAAATGGGCATTTTTGCCCGCTCGTTATCGAAATCGCCGACCTCGTAATTTCCCCTCCTTTCTCCCATACGCGCGTGTACACAATAAATTTTCTCGCCCTCGAGCTACAAGTATATGATACGCGAGAGACCAGCTGCATTTCGGCATACCAGAGAATAAAATCGCATGCGTGTGTTTGTGTACGAGAGTGGGAACCGAACGAATCGGGACGACGAGAAGGAAAAAAAGAGATCGGCTCCTGAGTGTCGATTTTCCTGTCCGAGCGCTCATATATGTACGAGCCTGTGTGGCGTTCCGCACGACTTGTCGCTGGAATTTCATGCGAACTTGAAGGTGCGAGCTCGGATATACCTACACGCTTGTACCTGTATACTCATAAAAAAGCTGTACGACTTTTATTTATTTTTTTTTTTTTTTTAATAAAGCAATGTTCCACATGCAGTTGCCTCGCGGGTGCGCGCAATTGACACTTTTGCGTCATTACCACGTATCTCGAATCTATCAATTAGTCCGGTTAGCTGCCCGATTTTTCTCGATATAACACGCGTGTCTCGCGTTGCGCAAGTACACGACCCAAACTGCATCGCAGAGCCGACCGATAGCAAATTTATCGTCCTCCTATCCTTTTTTTTCTTTCGGAGATCGGTATGGTGCACTGGGCAAAAGTTGCGTCAAAGAGCGCCTCGGGTGATACCGTTTTATTATAACATACAGTCGAATTGTTACGTGTTTACGAGGCACAATTTTCCGCGATTTACGAACATTTTAGGTCCCCCCCCATAGGTTATTCGCTTTAAAATATACTTGTATACGAGTCAGGGAATCGTTAGCGTTCGCCTCGAAAGTATCGCTCGCCAATGGGCCCTCTGGCTGTGTTTACGGCTGCACAGGGGTGTTCTAGAGCTGTACACGGGATATTATTTATTCATCCCTCTTTTTTTTTTTTTTCCACTGTGTACACAGTGCGCGGTAAATTATCGTGAGGTATACCCAGCCAAGGGGCTACAATGGGCAAGTGCCCGCGTAAACTTACATAATATGCGAGATGGTTGCCAATAGCTTTTTTACCTTCAGAATTATGTGTAGGTATGTATACAGGACGTGTTTACGAGTAATTACTTTCAAGTATGTACTCTGCAAGCTTTCAAAAGTAAATATATTTTCAATAAACAGCCTTCGCCCCCTATTTTTTTTTTTTTTTTCTCTTTCCGAAACAAGTATTACGTATAGCGTATAGGTACGCGTATTATGCGCGCGTTGGGTAACGAAAGCGTGACACACGTGTATTTCTCGCGGCCAGTCGGTGAATGATACTAACAAACTTTTTAATCCCCGTACATGTACATGATATACATTCGCGCGCGAATTCTCATGGATATTATATAGATATATATATATACGCTCTCGCTGTGATTAATTGCTTTTTACCTCGCGATCGGATATTGTTTGTTGTTGCGCAACGCGAGTGTGGGTTATCGGTTGTGCGTTAAAAATCGTTTTTTAATTGAAATGCACGCGTGGTAAATTTTCATTTTTTTTTTCTTTGGTACCGCGCCCGGTGTGTCCAAGAATAGAACGGGAGAGGAGATAAAAGACGCCCACGTATCATCAGCCGTCGGAGAGCCGCGGAACGAATTTTCATCGCTCCCCCCGATACTTACAGGGCAAATAAATATACGTGTATACGCTCGCTTTCACTTGTATATAGGTGTATGCTTGTGGTGCCCCGTGCACATCCGTGCAACAAAAATGACGGGAAAAAAAAGGGAAATAAAAGCAGAGCATCAGGACAGACGAGTCGAGACGGGAGTAGGTGTGTGTGTACCGAGAGACCTCGAGGGCTTTAATAATAAATCCCGAGAGCGAGGCCGGGAATAATATAAAGCCCGACGGACGGACTGACGGAGTCTGTTGGTGCACCAGCCATAATACGGACGTACTCTCTCGCGACGACGCGCCTGTCAGTCCACTGTCAGGGTCCGTATACTGTGTGGTGCATTGCACATATACATATATATATATATGTGCGCGGGACGGGGTGTGAGTAACGAGAGTCGGAGGTACATATACGCTGTCCGTGAGTGGTTTCTTTATTTATTTTTTTTTCCTTCTTTGCCAAAACCTTTGCCATCACCATTTGTACGAGGCGGAGGACGAGTGATTATTCTCGCGTTGAGAGAGGCGTCGATATATATATATTGGGCCGATTGCTACGAAGGCTGTAGATGGTTATCGCGCGACGATATCGAATCTTGTGCAGTGCTGTATAGAGATTCCTCGTTGGCACTCGAGTGTTTCTTGTACCTCGATGCATATTATTGGGGTAAAAACGTGGCTTGTGTACATAATTTACGATACACACACCCACATACCGTTTAAAATTGAGCTATTGTATCTATGGCACAAGCAAATATATGGGTAATTTTTGTCGCCCAGTTACGCCTTGGGTGTACATATAATCACAGTCGGGTTGTCCTCTACTTGCGAAACGAAGGTGGTGCTGCACAGGGAGGGAGAGGGAGATTATGATCGGGCTTGACTTTTGTTTTTGCGCGACTTTCTTTTTTCAGCTGCAACTCCCGAGGAGTAATAGCCGAACAGGTCGCCCAGCCCGTCAAGGTCGCGCGGCTAACTTAATTGCGCGAGAAGGGATACTTTATTCGCGGGTCCCTCTCTCTCTCTCTCTCTCTCTCTCTCTCCGAGAACCGATTGGCTTGTCTTTCTTTCCCCGCGACGGTGTTGGAGCCGAGAGAAAGAGAAAAAACAAGACGAGCTAACGAGTCAATTATCCTTGGGTGTGTGTGTATATACATGCGTGCCCTTCCCCCCCCCCCTTCGATGTCAATTTCACTTTACGCGTTTTGTGCATTGTGGCGCGCGCGCGTGTTTACCACGTACAGCCTTGAGGATAAGTATGTCTCTTACTTTTTTTTTTGTTTCTCAAACAACTCCTTCTCCTCGTTTTTGCCGGGGAGTAAATAATACGCTGGTTAGCGTCGATGCGCGTTACGTTTATTGGCCGGGAATTCCTTTAATTGCGCCCATTTGCGGCCCAATGAAATATCAAAAAATGCCCCCCAACCCAGAATTGACCAAAAATTCATCAAAACGCTGTCCACACCCAAATGTTGTATTATCGGTATTGCACTATGTATGGCCAGTGACTAACTTTCTGAAAGAATTTGTAAGTTACACAGTACGCTCGCCTTGAGCCTATCGACTCGGGCACTCGGACCGCGACGAAAAATCTGATCGATAATCTTGAGTGATTCGGTACACGGTTGTGTATAGTGTCAGCGACAATTTTCAGTTCTACGAGACAAAAAAAGGTGCTTTCTAGAAAAAGTTTCCTTCCACATACTGCAGCAGGCGTCCGACGCTTGTCGAAAATTTGTCGTGTCCCGGGGACACGGAGACAAAAAAAAGGTACATAAGTATATAATATACTCTCGAGAGGCGGAAACAGACTGCAGTGGAACGTATACAACGAGGGTATTATAGGAAGGGGCTCCCTCCCAAAGTGCGCGCCCTCGACTATTTCGACGAATACGATGAACCGAGAGATAAAAGCGGGCGCACTCGGACCTTCGGCTGTATACACGTGAGCCACCCCGACGCTCGTTATAATGACTTTTTAATGCCGATTGGGATCTATAAGCCAGAAAACCTCTTAATGAACGCACGCTCTCTCTCTCCCTTCATGGCCCCCACGTTTATACCGATCCTCCGCACTTATCTAATGCGCCGTGTTGTAATGTTACGTCAGCTGGTTTTTTTTCGAAGCCTCATTGTCTTGCTGCTCTGTTGTTCAATTTTCGATCGTATCTCTCTCTCTCTCTTTCTGTGATATTCAAATTAAGTTGTACGCGCATATCACAAAGATCGCACCCGTCGGGTAATAATATAACGCGCAGTGCTTTTAGTGTAATTTTTTTTTTTTTTTTTTTTTTTTTTTTTTTAGGTGTACATGTGGGGCTAACTGTGCGCCATTATTATGCAACGGAAGTGAATGTTTGTCAAGGGCACGAGAAAACTGCTGCTGCGAAACTTGCCGCGCGATTGCTACGGTTTTTTTTTTTTATTTTTTTTTCGTTCACGTCGCCTGTGGTGCAGTCAAAGGGTTGGTAATTGGTGGCATTTTTTTTCATGCTCGTTCTTTCTCGCTCGAGTGTCTTTTTTTGATGTTATTGTTTTTGTTCACTCGATCGGAAAATTTTCCTTACCTCGGCTGAGGCAGTTTAGGAGTACTTGTTTTACGTAATGAAAAAAGAAAAAGTTAGAACCGCTTCTAAAAAATATAGGTCGGAATGGGTGGGCTCTTCTGACTTTTAGATGAATTTAAACGGCAAGAGTATAGAAACAGCCACCACCACTGTATACATAAATCACCACAACGAAGGAGCAAGGGGGAGGGAAAAAAATCAAGCAATGCCAAAGCTCGAGCCGACGATTCGCGAAGAAAAAAAAAAAAGCAACAAAATACTCTTTTACCTCTTACCGAGGGAGAAAAATAAAATGGAAATCAAGTTGTCAAGGTTGCGGTACTTTACTTTATCACCAAAGTGTGG